TGTAGGTCACTGTATGGGGTTGGACTCCGAGCTGCACGTGTAGGTCACTGGTATGGGGTTGGATTCCGAGCTGCACATGTAGGTCACTGAGTGTCATGCTCTGAGCTCCGTCCTGACCATGGCTCCATTAGCTCTCTGAGTTGAAGATCGAGCAGTTTTAACTCACCCCCTGATGCTCTAGGTGAAATAATCCCGGCACACTTGAGTCATTCATTCAATACATATTTGAGTGCCTGTCACTTTCCTAGGTTTTGGGAGTAAGTCTGCAAAAATCACAAAACCCACTGTGCTCTTGCAGTTTACATTAGGGTCCTTGATAACTTTTAGTTGCTCCCCCATCTTCTGGCATGAGAGCTCACTCTTCCAGGCCATGGAAATATATTCATTTGCTTGGCTTTCTTTTTTCAAGCTTCTAATGTTGCATAGTATATAGGTAGATAAGACCCCATTGCTGCCCTCATGGAGTCTGTGAGAGAGAGACAGGCAGACAGACAGATGTGTAAACGCTTTGCGCTCAGCAGATTGGATTCGTGCTTATAAAGTTAGAAGCAATAGCTCCAAGGGAGATAGTAGAAGGGAAGAGCCACTCTTCAAATGGGGCATGATTATTCTGACAGAGGGACTGCTGGACTTAGCCTCGTGGTCACCTGTGAGTGCTTGGGACCTCTGACTATGGGGTGTATAGGAATGGGTGTTACAGTGGGCAGTGAGGAAGGAGGGAGGAGGTGGGCAAAGCCAAGTGTTGGGAGGGCTTGTATGTGCCCCAGAATGATCTGCGAGAGCAGTGATGTGATTTGCCCCTTGTCTTAGGAGGATACCTGCTGACAGTGTATGGGTGCTCTGGAGAGCAAGAGCTGGGTAGTGGGGAGCCAGCTGGGTGATTTTCTTTCATTTATTCTTTTATTCATTCAACATCTATTCATCTGGGGTTTGCCTGTGCCCAGTGCTGGGCTTTTCCAAATAATTTAGATGAGTAGCAGTGAGGGCTGAAGGCCTGACTGGAGTGGTGGGAATGGCAAGGCCAGGGCAAGTGTGAGAGGCGTGGCAAGGGGACATGGTGTGTGGCCCCAGAAAGGCTGCTTTCAGGTGTGTGCACATGTGTCTAGATAGTGGCAGGCAGCTCGAAAGTGAGGTCAGGTGCTGAGAGAAGACCTCATTGTAGGACCCATGTTTGTAGTAGAATGTGAAGGTTGTCAAAATCACCAGTAACTTTTTAAACTAAGACTGAGAGGTTGGTCAGCCAGGGAACCCCACAACCAGCCCAGAAGAAACACAGGCCCCCTAGGTGTGTTGCCACTTGTGTAGAAACGTAAGTTTGAAAATAAATTTCATAAGCAATTGCCAACTTAGGTACTAGTTTAAGAAGAGTGGAACCAGTATAATGCCCTAACTCATCTTTAAAGTGTGAAGTTTAAATTTTATTTCTTTTTGCTGAGTGGCTGAAAGATAACGATATAGGAGGACAACTTTGTCGGGTGCACGTGGGCCCCTCCGTCTCTTGGCTTCGTCTCATTTGCTCTCTGCCTCCCTAGTTGGTGGGGTAGGAAACTGCGGCACCCTGCTGTGAATGCAGAGAGCCATCATCCCTCACAATGGCTGGGTAATTCCAGATTTAATTCTGAACAGAGAAAACTGATTTCATTGATGTCGTGTGATAAGGGGTACAAAGGAAACCTGGAAGTACTATAACGGAGTCTTGACAGAACGCTTCAACCACCGGGGAGGAGCCACGCCCCTCTCTTGGTCGGGAGGGGGCTGCTTTTTAAGCATGTGGCAGTTGTTATTCATCGTACTTTTTTTAAGGTAGGAAATGTTGTTCTTTGGATTGAGTTAAATCCTCCTCAGCCTAACAGATGTGATGTGGAACAAAGCCTGCAGGCTGTGACTAATTGACACGCACTGGGTTAATGAGAAGACAGAATGCCTCTAATCAGCCACAGAGCAAACACTCACAAAGGGTCTCCTTCCCTCCTAGGACTTCCTTCGCCGGGCATCTGGCCGGGATTCTTGTGGGACTAATGTACACTCAAGGGCCTCTGAAGAAGATCATGGAAGCATGTGCAGGTACAGAGCAGAACAGGACGCCCGTGGCGTGACAACAAGTTGCAAGTTCATCTTACTTTTAATGTCAACAGATGCAACCCCAGGTTTTCCTGTGGTTCAGTTTAGGAATTCCCTCATATACTTGTTTCCTTTTTAAACCAAAAAGTAAGCCAGCCGGTACAGTTCCTCACAGTGCTCCACAGAAGTGGATGCAAGCCCAAATTTTAAATCTGAGACTTTCTTAGGGAACAAATATCAGTATATACGCTTATACCACCAGCCCTGCTCACAGAAAACCATGATTTCCTCAAACTGCAGAGAACTGATGGGGGTTTAAAATATTGAATTCTTCTATAATATTCTATGAATTAATAGATGTGCAAGGCAAAGTTAAAAAAGAAAACCAAACCCGGGCAGAAGTTTAAGGCCTGTATTTTAAAGAATTTCAGAATGATCACTGGGTTTGGTAGGTGACATGTTCATACATGGTCAGACCAAATCTATTACTGCTTGAAGCTTGGCTCCTGCTCTTTTTACTTTGTTTTTCTCTTCAAATCGATACTCAATGAAAATATTTTATTTAGAAATACATGCATTTTTTTAGACCTCTTAATTTAAAATGCTGTTCTGGTTCTGACTTATAAGAAAACTATTTTGCAAACACTTGTTTTATAGACCATGCAAATTCTGATATTTCATCTTTTATTCATGGAGAATCTTCTGAGACTATTTTACCTTTTCTTGAACCATAAAATAATTTGTTTCCACAGTTTATGCCGATGACTGGTATTCTTGAGAACCATAGAATATTCATGACATTAGAAAGCTTTGCAGGCACTCACGGCCACCTTCGTTAGCAGGTTGTGTTCACTTTGGGTTGATTTTTACGTGTTTTTGCATCTAGGCAGAGTCTCATCTTCCTACATTGGCTTATTATTATGTCCCCAGCATGTGTGCTCGGAGGAGGCAGTGGGAGCTTCATTTACTGAAAATGCCCAGTTTTATTATATTTTCAATATAATTTAATACTCATACTCATTAGTACTGATAAAAGAAAATAAATGATTTCTGAAGTTTAGTGTTTTGTTTCATTTTTCCATGTGTCTCAAGAGTAAGGGGTTAGTAATGCATTCTATAGACGTGTTATGAAATTTAGACGAGTGGTTTGTTTAATTTTTAAAGAGAATTTTCCCCACAATTATAACATTTAAATTCTTAATTTTCCTCCTTTAAGCCTTGCCTGTTTTCTGTGCTTTCTTATTTTTATATCACTCTATTTTCAAAGTAATGCAATGGAAAATTAAGTATAGCAATCAGAACACATCCAGCATGATGTGCAAATAGCCTGCAGCTTCTGTGCCCTTCTCTGTGAACTGAGCATTACAGTGACATAGGAACCCCACGGGAGATGACGGAGCATCTGGAGCAGTGATTGTCAACCGTCCTAATGCCGCGACCCTTTAATACAGTTCCTCGTGTTGTGGTGACTCCCAACCATAAAATTACTTTTGTTGCTACTTCCTAACTGTACTTTTGCTGCTGTTATGAATCGTAATGTAAATATCTGATATACAGGATGGTCTTAGGTGACCCCTGTAAAAGGGTCGTTCAACCCCCAAAGGGGTGGTGACCCACAGGTTGAGAGCCACTGATCTGGAGGCTACTGTCTGATGCCTCCCAGAAGAGGTGGGCCATGCTGAGGGTGTTCCCCTTCACTCAGCAGGGCATGATTGAAACTGTCCTTTTGCCTTTGATAGGGACAAGAAAGAGCAAAGTTCCTTAGTATGGGTAAGGAGTGTGGCCCTCCTAACACTCTTGTTGGGGGAAAGTGCTCTCTTTGGCCAAGAGCATCTCTACGTGGGCATCAAAGCCCAAACTTGGTACCTTGGGAGGCAAAGACCTTTCTAAGGTCAATAGTAACCTCTAAAGAACTCCAGAGACTTCATTGCACCCCCACAAACATCCTATTCCCTATAGAGTTGGTCCCCAAATACAAGGTAGTTTATTTTATAAATTGCTTAGAAATCATTTGAGATGACCCTGGGCCTTGTCATAAAGAACCTCCTAATTGTTGGAAAGATTAACATTTAAAGCCTTATGGATTTCGTTTGTTTGTTTCTTTCTTTGTTTAGGCATTTTTTCCTCTGGCATTGGCTACTCAGGACAGCAATACTACTTTAATAGTTCAGGTAAGTATTTTATTTCATCTAATTTATTTTAAATGATTTCTAAAATTATAGCATTTGCTGCTATAGAGCTACTTTAAGGTAGCAGTAGCTATGCTATGGTAGGTCATTCACACGTTATGTGATCATGCCACTAACTTTACTGAGAACTAGATGAGGGGTGACCCAGGGAGCATTTTCGAGTAGGTTGGTACAAAAGTCGAGGGAAGAAGGTAATTCTGGCATTAAAAAAAAAAAAAAAATTGTAGGCTTGGTCCTCATCTCTTATGTGTGATGAGGTTCCTATTAGATCTTAATCTTTTGACTCTCGGCCTAAAGCTATACTCTTAGCAAAGTGTTAAAAGTCGGTTTCAGGCATATAGTTTTCCACAGTCTACCCCACCTGTATCCAGGAAAGTCAGGCATACTCTTAAGATGCTGAGATAGGCATTGCTGTAATGAATACTTGTGACTTAAAGAGAAGAATACAATAGAACCTCTGTAAGTTGACTACCCAAGGTACTATAACAAAGTGGTCAACATAAGGAACTAGGTGGTTCCATACACTACAGGCTTTACAGCTGACCTAATTACAGCTGAGCTAATTTTCACATCACATGTATGTATTGGTACAGTAGATGTCCGTGTTAGATAGGTAGAGAGGACTTCCTGTGAAAAGCATAAGACCTATTTTAGACTGAGGCCTTCCTATTCCAGCTTGGGGCAGCTACACTGCAGAATCCTGGACCAGTACTGGGAGACAGGTGTAAAGCCTGTAGCATATGGAACTACTGGAAGTCTTAATGCAGTAGAGTGAACATGTTCCCCCAAAATTCATATGTTAAAATCCTAACCCTTAAAGTGATGATTTTAGGGGAGGTGGGGTTTGGGGGAAAAATTAGTTTATAAGAGTAGAGACTTGATGAATGGGATTGGCACCCTTACAAAAAGGACCCCAGAGTGCTCTCTAGACTTTTCTCACTGCTACGTGAGGATGTAAGAAGAAGTTGGCCCTCGGCAGCCAAGAAGAAGATCCTTACCAGAACAGACCATGCTGGCTCCCTGATCTCAGAATTTCAGCCTCAGGAACCATGAGAGAAATTTCTGTTGTGAAGTCCTCAGTCTAAGGCTATTTGCTATAGCAGCTGAAGTGGAGTGAGACGTGGTTAAATTAACACCAACCTAGGACTGCTATAGCTTAAATCTGAGGCTGCAGCCTCTTCTGTAAAGGGCCAGACAACTGAAGTTTAGCATCTCAGAAGGGTTTGTTGGCCTTATGGTCTCTGTTGCAACTAGTCAGCCTACCCTTCGAGCAGGGAAGTAGCCTTAGATGATTCATAAATAAATGGGTATACCTGTGTCCAGTAAAATCTTTTTTATAAAAATTGGCAGTGGGGTGGATTTGGACTGTGAGTTGTAGTTTTTTGACCTTGGTTTAAATAATATAGGTACAAAGAATTATTGTAAATATACAGTAGTGACCTCCTTCCCACGCTGACCACCTTCTTAAGTTGACCTAGTTTTCACAGACTGGACATGCAGTACATGTGCAGCTCAGTGCAGTGGCCTAGTTTCCTATGTTGACCACCTCTGTCTGTTGATCAGTTTGGTCCAGGCCCTTGGGTGGTCAGCTTACAGGAGTTCCACTATATACACATTACTTTGCTTTATTTTCCACTGACTGGTTTCCCCAGTCACACCTTGTGAGCAGTCGTATTGTGCAGAATACCAGACCAGCTATTGAAGGAGAGAAGAAAAGAGCTGAGTCCCAGACTCAGAGTTATGACCCAGGAGTGGCAGTGTAGGTGCCAGCATTGGAAAAGATGAAGTGCGAGCTAATGATGCTCGTACTGCTTGAGTTTATGCTTTGTTGCCTCCTGGTAGCCCCCATCACCAGCTTTCCTCTGTGACTTTCCAGTTCAGGGAGCCTGCTGGGCTCCGCTCATGCTCCCCCTCCACACACAAGGTTCACGAGCCTGTGCTACCTATTATACAATGTCTGAAATAGGTGTTTCACATGTTTTCTTCAGTCCCAGGAAGCCCAATCCAGTGATATTAATGTTGTGAGTTCAGCGCTCAGCCCAGATGGACAAGTGGGGTTGTGTCATGGGAGGTTGCTCTGGGTCTTGCTAGATGAGCAGATGTTAAGGAAAGCATGAGATAAAGGGCTTTCCAGGGGTAGCAAGCAGCATTTGCAAAGGTCTGTTTGGAAATATCCAGAATGTGTTGAAGAGCCACTGAAGGATTCATCAGCGTTCCAAAACTATTAGAGTTAACTCTAGGTTTTGTGTGGGTTTCACTCATGGTCTTGGATCATGATTATTAGTCCTGGCTGTATATGTACATATGAACAAACCACCGGAGGAGCTTGTCCAGCACATTTGGGCCTTGCAGTCAGCCCAGACCAGTGAAGTCGGGATGGAGGTCGAGGCAGGGCTGGGAGCCCTTTTTGAAAAGCTTCCTAGGCAATTTTAATGGGATCAGGAACAAAAATTATAGCCTTTGAGGATTAGGTTCCCAAAGCATGGAGACCACAGAAATGAATGTTATCACACCCTAAGAGAGGCTTCCCTCCAAAGGTTCTCACCTCTGCTTATTTAGATGCTTAAATTCTTAGAAACTTGGCCTTGGTGCAGAGGAACAGTTGTTGTACCGTGCCAGCTCATGGCTTCCTCCTGTGGACTCGCCCTAAGAGAGAAGCCGTGATGCATAGGTGTGGACAAAGCTGATAATGCAGTCATTTAGAAGAACACTGTGTCCTTTGGGTCACTGGGCATGGAGACCAGTTCACGCTGACTAAAGTAGGATAAGAGGACTTTACCGGCCTGTGTGACTAGAAAGAGCTGGGTTGGATAAGAAGATCATCATGATTCTATCTCCTCCAGTGGTTTTTTCTTCCTGTTGACTTCATTCTCTCCATGGGGCACAGGGTGTGATGTCTGACAGTTTGAAGTTGCTAGAAGGAAAAGGGCTTCTCTTCTGGTTCAGTTTTTAAAATCCCCAAAAGAAACAGCAGTGCTCTTCTGGGCAAAGAAGATAGTAAGAACATACTTGGGCACAGACATGACTTAACCTATCATAGATTACCTGGTCCCAGCGTCTTACGTGACAGCCAGGAAACCAAGGCTTAGCAAGGTTAAGTAGTTGGGCTGAAGTCACATGGGTAGTCTGCAGTAGAACTAGAAAAAAAGCGCAAGTCCCTGATTTCTAACCCTTGCTTTCTCTTTGGTGCGAGGATGGGAGATGGGCACCCTGCCAGTTTAACCTCACAAAATAGGGCAGTTCCACTTGTTGTCTTAGATCCATTTTTTTAACTCTATTTATTTATTTATTTATCTTAAAAAAAAGGGAAACCCGCTCCTCTCCTTCATCTGGAAAAGGCATAGGCACAGCACACTCACAGACCAGAGAATTAAAGGCAAAAATAAAAGCCCCTTTTGCCTTTCTCAACTTCCATGAGATTACCATATTTATGTTCCCTGCTCTGAAGTGATGGGATTTCTTCAAAGGAAGAGCTGCATAAGGCCAGGTGGCCATGCTAATGGCCATCTAGGGAACTTTTATGAGACCTTATGTATCTCTGACAAGTAATGATTTATTCTTAATATGGCTGTCCTTAGCTGGAAAAGTCTTTATAGGTCAAAGAACCTTATGAATGTTTAAAAAGCTGTTACCAATTTTTCTAATCTTGCTGGTGTTTCTTGATCTCCTTTGCCATGAAACCCTGCTATGTGTATGAGGAACAGATGGAGCAGTTAATAGAATAATGGTAACCAGAGTTTCTTTTGCTACAGAGCTCAAGTGTGCAGCTAAAAAAAAGAAGAAAAGGAAACTGGTATTTATCGCAGGACATAATTTAAACTTGCTTAAGTGTTGGATTGTTAGATTTTTACAGGAATGTCCATTAAAGAGATTTTAAAACATCTGATTGGACCAGTGAAACAGTGGTGGAAAATTTGGGGTCCTAGGAGACCTGTTCTCATTATAATATATATGGGTGATATTTTTGGTCTTGTTGATGATTTATGATCGATGATATGGAACCTTTAACCACACTAGTCTTTTTTGACTTAAGGCACCCAAAGCTTCCCATTCCCTCTCTCCATGTTTTGTCTGACAGGTACCAAATTAGTTTTCATAATAGTCAGATGTTGAGAGTTGTTGCTTTATTTCATTAAAGCACTGCTAGGTTGTTTTTAAGTAAGAAATAGCATGAATAAAAAATGCCACCTCAAATTACTGCATGTATACCTGGCGATTAAAACTGTGTGGGTGTATGTAGTATCTGTATAGATAAGTATTCATAGACTTTGGGTTATTTTGAATTTTGAATTAGCTGAGCATTCTGAGGGATGGATAGGTAGAAATGCTGGGTAGTCTTTCCCTAACAGAATGACTTTCCATAGGGGTTTGAAAGTGATAATGAGCCCTATGGGAAATTACCCAGTATGCTTTTTGTGTTGCAATAAAATAATTGGCACTCTTAGGGAATTGGGTACTTTCTCTGTTCAGGGATTGTGGAAGCATCCCGTGGTGTCCACTGACATATCCATAAATATTCCATTAGTGTTTCGGAATGGTTGCCCCTTAATTTGTTCTTTCTGGTGTAGACATATTAATTGTGTTTTCACCATTTGTCTTCACATGTCTTCGCACTAGGTCTTTTTTGGTGAGGAGTATAGAAAGCAAGATTTGTAGCCCTGCCACAGTCTCCTTTACTCTCCAAATGTCAAACTAGCTGGTGTCCCCAACACAGCAGTGGAAGCTGAATTTTTCTGATGATTCTGTTGGGTAGAGACCAATTTCAGCGGAGTGTCTGTATTTCAAATCGTATCCAGACCCAATTTTGGCCCTAAACCAATGTGAGGATTTGGAAAATTTACTTATCTCCCTCCTCTCTTTTAAGTATCAATAATGTTAATATTCTGATATGGAAAACATGAGAGGGAATAGGGAAATTGTATTTTTGGAGGTATTCAGTAAATCTCCACCAATTTTTACTGCATGGAGGCAGGGCTTTTCAGAATTAGTCTCTAAAATCCTGAACATTTTAATTTAATATTTATTTAAATCATTCATTTTTGTTACTTTCAAGGACAATTCAGTGAAACATAACTAAGCTAGAAGAGCTTTATAATAATCAGTAACACTGGGCAAAAGATCTGAACAGATATTTCTTTAAAGACAGTATGGCTATGAGTGCATAAGAAGATGCCCAACATCATTCATCAGCCATCAGAGCCACAGGATGATAACCACTTCATACCCACTGGGGTGACTATAATTGAAAAAATCCATAACAGCAAGTGTTGGTGAGGGTGTAAGCAACCAGAATCCTCATTCACAACTTGTTAGGTGTAGCTGCTTTGGGAAATATCCTAGCAGTTCCTCTCCAAGATCTATGCTCAAGAGAAATGAAAACATTTGTCCACTAGAAAATTTTCAGAAATGTTTATACCAGCATTATTCATAATGGTCAAAAGAGGGGAATAACCCAAATGTCCATCAGTTGAAGCCTACATAAAATATAGTATAGCCATACAGTGGAATATTATTTGACCATAAAAAGGAATGAAATACTGATACATGTCACATTGATGACCATTGGAAACATTATGCTAGTATAAGCCAGATATAAAATACCACAAATTACCCAGATAATTCTATTTATGTGAATTGTCCAAATAGGTGTATCTATAGAGACAGAAAGCAGATTACTGCTTAGATTACTTAGAGCTAGAAGATGCAGGAGTTTGATGTTAACTGAAGGGTACAGATTTCTTTTGGGAGGGAATGATATAAATGGTCAAAACGTCAGCATTGACTGTGGTGATGATAGTACGATGATGGTATGACTCTACAATATCCTGAAGACCATTGAGTTGTACTCTCTAAATTGATACATTGGTACGTCACTCATAACCCAGCTGTCCTAGAAAGATCAATAGACACAAATTTGTTATATGACAGATATTTATATAAACACAAAATTATGGGGTGGTACCTGTGGCTCAAAGGAGTAGGGCACTAGCCCCATATACCAGAGGTGGTGGGTTCAAACCCGGCCCCAACCAAAAACTGAAAAAAAAAAACCCACAAAATTATATTGAGTCATCACCTAAAACCAGATTTGTGTGTTTTATTATCATATGAAAACAAAAGACTACTAGAGTACTGAATTATGCTTCCTTTTTAATCTTGGATATTAGGAAAATCTTTTATTCATAGTTAATATAAAAGTAAATTTTAAAATTGCCTCAGGACCAACTGTCAACAATCCTAAAAATGAAATTTCAACTACCCAGGGTATGCCATGCAGTGTTGCTCTTTTGGCTCGATTGTGTTTTATTCTATGGTCTCACTGACGCTCTAAGTCAGGCCCTTCCTATATGGGATAAGAGAGAGATGGTGACACAAGACTCACATAAATGTTAGAAATTTTCATCGACAACCAAAAACACATTATTTGAACATTTGAAGCATCATCTCCAAAGGATACAATAATGAGAGGGAAGCAGGAGAAAAATTAAACAGACGATTATTCCTCCCTAATTATGCCAGAATGAGATTGGTGACCTTCTGTGGAAATAAACATCTCATCCAAACAAAATCTGTAACAGTTGGCGATTAAAGAAAATATGAAGAGTAAATTCAAACTGACTGAAAAGATTGATGGAAATATCTTGCAGAATTGAACTTGGCTTTGTTATTTACCCTTATAATTGGGTATCTAGAGATGGTAGCAAAAGCAATATTGAATGACCAGGGTGTCTCCCCCGTCTTATTTTACCTATCAACCAAGCCATTTTTTGAAAGGAACTGAGATGGGAACTACAATCTCTTGTACATGTTAGACTTACAATTACAGAGAAATTGGTTTATACCTCTCAGTCTTACTAGTGTTTGAAATGTCATATCGTATTTCTGTTAAACAGTGGACTGCCTCACTGTGTGGAGCCCCAAGACCAACTATGTGTTGTTTCCTCCATTCTCTTGACTCAACTCAGGACTTCCTGAACATAGTTCAAGTACTGAATAGTTACAAATTGAAAATCCACTCTGCATGTCAGTGGCCTTTTCCAGTTTCTTCTCCAGGACCTCTGATCTCCTTTCCTTGTTAGCACAAAGACCCCTTCGTGTCTGGCCCGATGTCGGACCATAAATAAGCAGTGACTAGACAATCACTGTCTGCCCTCTGGAAGGCCTTGTCTATTTGGTGCCTTTTCTTATTTTGAGGGTGATGATTATTCTCAAAATGATGACATGAATTATTTGCTTATCTTTGCTTTAACAAGACAAGAGGTATGAAACGAAAGAACAGTCCATAGCTGTGTTCTATAACCTTTTCATTGTGCCTCCAGGCCATTCTGGATATCAGAATCACTATCCATATGGTGGGCCCGGTCACTCTGAAGAAGTGCCCAGGAACTATGATGTGTACACAGCAGGACTGAGTGAAGAGGAACAGCTGGAGAGGGCACTAAGAGCCAGCCTGCAGGACCGAGGTAGGAGTCTTGCATCCTTCAGTCATTGTAAAGCCTATCTCACGTGGTAAGATGGTCTGAAAAAGGGCTATTTGTAGCAAATTAAACTTTAAACAGTTTATAAAAAGGACATGTAGATGAAAAATGTGTGCAGATTGTGATTACAGAGAATGGGGTGTGATGCCATATTCCCAGCAAACTAAGCTAATGAGGTGCCAGACTGTGTATGTATTGTTAAAGTGGTTCTTTTTATAGGCCTGCTGTACTCAATGCCTTGGCCTTAAAGTCAAGAAACTTAAAATTCTTAGGCACTTGGTAAAAAAAGGGGTGACTTAACTTTGGAATTCATATCCATAAAGCAGGTTCTGTGTCACCGTATTATCAAAGTATTACATAAATCTCCCTCAGAAATCGCATAGGCTAATAATTCTGCTGAATCAATCTCTCTGGGGACAGAGCCTGGGAATTTGTATTTTTAATAGGCTTTCTGTATATCAGTTTGTAAAAGAATCTTTAAAAAGAACTCCTGTATCCTTCCATTTTCATTCTGGGTTTGGCCTGAGTTCAGGTATTACTGTTTTTATTATTCTTTTAGTAGTGACTAAAAATCTGTTCATTCAAATAGGCATTTAATGAGGTCTTATTACGTTTCATGTACTGTGTTAGATACAATAGGGAACATAGAGAGGTGAAAGATGGTACCTGCCTTCATGATCTCTGGTTGGGTATATGCCTAGGTAGGACTGAGGTGAAAGATGGTACCTGCCTTCATGATCTCTG